TGGATTTAGCTTGTGATTTTACTCTTACAATTTCATACAGTATAGACTTATGTTGGTCTGAGGTTTTGTACTGGCTTCAAGGGGAATACAACAGAGGCATTTATTGTATTCGAATAAATTTCACACTGAATAGTCTCCTTGAACAGTTTTGAAGCCTGTAGCTTTAAGTGCCAAAGTACATGATAAGTTTGAAATTTGCTAAGAAAAGGCACCCTCACACTATGTTGTAAGGACATCATTTGATAATTTTTGTTGTGAGCAAAGTGAAAAAATATTCATACTTTTTTACCCTATATATATCATAAAATTTACATAACCTAATTTACTTTGTGTACAATTCAAACATAGTCGTACAACTTTTAACATATATTCTAAGTTGAAAAAGTAAAACAGTTACCTTTTTTTCTACGTCCCGGTCTGGGTCGTCGTTTCCTGCCGAACGCAGTGACAGTTATTGACGGCATCACTGTCCTCTCTTCTGTTGACAGAAGTCTGCGTCTTTTGGTTGCCACGGTTATTTTTTAAGATGATCCAATTATAAAATTATGTAGACTTCAAAAATTATTTAAATTACAATATTCACAAATTTTCATATCATTTCATTTTCTGCTTGGTCCTGTCCTATTTTCTAATTTTAAAATTCTGATATTTCTCTCTTAGATATATTCCATTTTAATTTTTTCATTAAGACCTCCTAAACTTAATCCAAATCAATTTTTCAACACTACCAAAACATTGGATCTTTCACGATCTCATCACAAGTGTCAACACGTCAAGTTTCAAAAGAATTCATAACATATTTGACTTGTTAAAAAAAACAAGTTCAGGTAAATCTAAAAACAGTTAGTGTATGAATGAATTTTAAGTATATTTACATATAGATGTAACAAGTATAGACGAAACCCAAATCTGAATACAGGCTGCACTGACGTCTGCTTTTTTATGTTTTTACGAGTCAATGGTTTTTGTGACTTAGTTTGTCCTTAATGTTGCATTAAGATTAAATTCAGCTAAAGTTATCAGATGTTTCAAGTTTCATCACTACCAAGGTTGAGTTAAGTTGACGAACACAATTTCAGACAGCTACAGATGATGTCCGATTGAAAAGTGCTTTCAGAAGTCAGATGTATATCACTCTACAACATGCACAAAGTACAAATACACCATCAAGTCATTTTTTCATTTTCAATATGTAAGATTTCTCCTGCAATATATCATTTTCCTACTTTCCAAAATCTTAGTTAAAGCTTTACACCTATCTAACTTCCCCGTCTTTTTTCTCAAAGCTGTTCAGTTTATGCCAATATTCACTTTCTCAGTTGTTCCAAAACAGAAATACAAACGTATCACATAAGAGTTTCCTTGAAATGACTTCTTCTTATCAACTGCTCAATCTCGATATATTCTTACATAATAACAAGATATGAATTTCCAGTGTCCAGTCTGTTTCCTCTCTCCAGGTAAACTTTCAGGAACAATCTATTTCAAATGATTTCAATTCCACTTTATGTCACATTATTAGGTCTATGTCTATCCAAGCTTGATGAAATTTTCCAGGCAAAACATCACTTTATTTTACAAATGAGGTCTTCCAATCATACATATTACAGCATCAAATTGAGGTAAAGAATGCATGTGAGGAAGAGTTCAATAGAAAGTTGAGGGGTGTCAAATTAATGACCTGAACTCTATATCCAATCTTGCTATCCTGTATATTATTCATCCATTTTGAATTCTGAAAGTTTGTCTCGAAAATGTTATTACGTTCCTGAAAACTCACGTTTAATACCTCAAACTCCAACTTTTACAACTTCTCTTCTGCATTTTTACAGATTCTGTTTTTAGTTCCATCAATATTTCCACCATTTTGTTTTTAACGGCTTTCATTCTCCGTGTTTCATATCAGAATATTCTGAGTTTATACAGATTCCATGTCAGTCTTTGAGATTCCTTAAATTACCTTCAAGACAACTTTGTTTCCCTCTCTAGGAAACTAAATATGGTTTTGTGAATGTTTCTTTTGGTCTTTGATATATTTTTGACAAATGTCAACTAGCTGGAGTCAGAATGACCTAATACATTTCACAGGTGCAAAGATTTTATTTAAAACTTGGTCTTTACCAACTACTAAATTTGACAAATGTTAAACAGCTACAGTCATTAAAACTATCCACATAATCTATTCAATATTAAGTTACTTTTTTCATTTCAAAGATGCAAACTCAAAACTTGGTCTTTAACTCTACTAAATTTGACAAATGTATAACAGCTAGAGCCAGTAAAACTACCCACACAATATTTTAAATCTTCTGCTATTCTTAAGGTTTAGAAATTTCAAACTTATACTTTCACCTAGAATCCATCAAAACACTGACCTTAACAAACAGAGGAGGAAAATTATAACTTCACTATTTATATCCTTAAAAACATTTATATCACAAAATATTAAAACGGTTCACAAATTAATTTTAATTTATTTATCCTGAGCAGACTAGCAATAATAATATTCCAAATGTTTCTATGGTTTACTCTTCATATTTCAATTTCACCATTTTGACTGTTTTCAAAATAAATAAAATTTTGACAGTTGTGGAGATAAAACCTAAGATAGATATTTTTCCCTAGTGTGTCAAAATTTACACCATATTTTTTACATTGGGTAATAAACCTATTTCAGGTTGTTTGATTCATCTTAAAGCCACTATCTGTCAAACTAAACCTGTCAGATTTTAAATAAGTGAAATTTTAACTGTAAATCTGTTTTAAAGCTACATACAAAGATACAAAAATAATGCATGGACAAAATTATTAATTCATCCAAGCATTCAGTATATGCCATACAGAATAGACATAGAAATAGAATGAGAAATTCCTAGTTTGAGATATTTTTGAAGGGATTATGCTATTTTCGAGCAGTTTAAATAGGCCCTACTTCTGAAAACTATTTACATATATCCCAAATCAACCCCACTAAAATCCCTTGGAAATAACAAGATAGTAGACCTGTATCAATTCTAGAACACAGTAGATCCTGGTCTCTGACAGCGAGCGAGTTTAAGTGTTAATTCAGGTATATATATATATATATATATATAAGGAATTCTATACAATATTTACTATACACATCATACCCTTTATATACATACAATCTTAACATATAGTTCACATCTATACTGAAAAACAACTCAAAATTTAGAGGAAAAATAATTCTGGATTCACATATCGAAGCAAATAGCAATGACAACATTTCCTAATGTCTCATTTTCATTTGAAACCTATGATCCATGTGATATCACTGTGACTATAAAATTAGACTGTGTACACTGTATCTATACAGGTGAACTTGAACCCATTGCACCCATCAATTGAGAGATATTTTCTAACATCACTGTGACTATAATACTAGACTGTGTACACTGTATCTATACAGGAGGATTTGAACCCATGGTGCCATCAGCGATCAGCTCAGAGATATTTTCTAACATCACTGTGACTATAGAATCAGACTGTGTACAGTAATTCAACCTGATTCAATGCTGGTAGGTGTCTCTGTATAAAAGGTGTTAAAATTTGATTGAATCAAGTTTTTGTCATTGTAACTAACGCCTACTATTACATCAAGCCTGGTCTAGTTTTACTCAAATAATACTAACAACTTTTCACACAGTCAAAAATCAAAATACAATGTCCTTGAAAGCAAACTGAGCAAAACACAGCCTTAGCAAATGACTTATATTCTTAAAAAACACTAGGATCAACCTAGTTGTCAATATTATAGAGAAGTCAAAATCTCTCTTCTAATTTCACTTTTAATATGAGGCAAATTTTCGCATATATACAATACTTCTACAGGCCAGGATAAAGACTTCGGAGATGAACAAAAATGGAGGTCCCCCCCTCCCCCCCCTAATATGTAAAGAAAGAATTAATGTAATGAAATGTCAATGTTATAACAAATTATTTGTAAAAATCAAGTGAGCAATCTATTACACTCTTTTTATAACTTATCTGTATATTTTACATCTCGTGGCATAACTTGGTTGTCAGGTAAAATTGAAATAAAAGTAAATAATGCTGCAATATGACAACATGAACCTAGTACAGTATTCTATATTTTATCAACTAATCTAACAGATATATAGTTATCTATTAAATATAGGTTTTACCAGCTGATAGAGCTCAATTCTTTTTATCATTTCCAGTACTACATAAAAATCAACCAATCAGTGTTCATAGTATCGTAACTGACAACAAGCAAGAAATCTGATTGGTCAAGATGTTAATAATTGTAGTGTATTGGTCACGTGATATGTATGCCTCTGGGATCCTGGACTTCCGCCCAAGTTCTCACAGCATCTCTTCTTGATCTGTAGTAGATGAATAAACATGTAACATCCATGCCATTTATTTATCTCAATACATCGGCAGCCTCGACAAGAAGTTACATTAATAACCAGAGTATTTATTATAGTAATTTATGATCATAGTTGGGATGTTTCTGACAACCAGCCCTAGACAGGCTGACAATTATTAACATTTTACCAGCCAGATACGAGTGATATGACATCTAAAGCTCTTTAATATATTCTGTACATCCAGTATCTCTAGAAAATCTCACAAACAATATTTTTTATAAGCTGTAAGAATTCGGTGAGTATTAAAAAACCAGAAGTATCTTGCACCAAAACAATGCCAATAATGAATTTGATCTGAATTCCAGAGTTTTATTCCTGTTTTTGCACCTTAATATGCTAATTAAAATAGACAATATCAGATATTTTATCAGGTAGAGACTCTATCTTTCTAGTCAGACATTCTCTTCACAATTTATATTAGTCCGGATAGCTATATAGGATAGAGATAAAAGGGGAACAACTCCAATCTATAACTGAGTGTCTGCAGAACAAAATCACGAAAATATTGAATCTCAAACCAGATGAAATTCTGTTCAAGATCGTAAGATTCAAGATACATTGTCGTAATTTTCATAGCCACAATTTCTAAATTTGACCTGGGTATAAATAACATTCAAAATTTCTCAATTGACAAACTATTACAGTAAGATTATTTGATGAACAAGGAACGTTATTTTTCGTTAGTTTACCTGAAAAAAAACCCCCTAAACCTGAGTACAGACTTACATGGAAATGTAAACCTGAGGAGAGACAGACATGAGTGCTAGCATGAAAAAAAGTGAGATAGGAAAGTCATATCTTACCTTTAAGAATATGTTTTAGTTCCTTGGCACCTTTATGTGTGGTGAATTTATTAACGATATCCAGAGCTGTTTGGTCGTACGAGTTGGGACGATTAACGTCTATTCCACACTGAAATAGATAGAAATAAATTATCATAAATTAATCAAATCTAATAAATCAAATGTTCAATGATACGCAGAATGTCAGTGGAGGTACAGGGATGTATTTACCCATCAAAAGAGAAGTCTGTACCCTCACTTTCTTTCTATTAAATTTCAAATTATGATTTTTTAAGTTTTCATGAGTATTATATTTGGTATGTGAAAGTTTTCTGAGAATAAAACCTCTAACAGTATTACTGGAGAGTTTGCTCCCCGTTAAATCAGTCTGTTATTTATGGAAATATTGTGGAATATTTGATAAAACAAGAGTATCAACTAGGAAACGTTGTTTTTTAATAAAATAATTGTTTTCTGTAAGATTTATACAGTTATTTACTATACAATTATTAGGACTAGACACTTTGTTAGTCCCCGAGACCTGCATCACTGACAAGAAAAGATCAGATTAAAAAAAATAGAGAAGAGGAGAAAAGGTAAGAGATGTAACAACTGATAGTTTATTGTGTATAAACTAACTATTTTACTCTTGCTATGATGGTATCACTATCAGTATTAGTACTATTACTAGTAGACAGGTAGGGTGGTGCACTAAAACAGATGTTAGTCGTAAATCATACAGTCAGTAAGGTAAATAAGTAGATAGATATGTAGGTAGGTACTGTATAAATCAAGGCCAACCAAATACAGTGAAACCCTTCTATACTGCCTCATAGTAAACTAACAGGTTTGTCAATTATTAAATAGGCTATCAATATAACCTTATGCAATAGAAACCTTTATATGCTACATATATACATGGGCTATGTATATAATGCTATGCAGTATAAACCAAATACAACATCATATTCTATATTTATATAGGCTATGCTATCAACATAAGTGTCATACTGTAACAAGTGAAATGAAATGAAATGAATGGAGTTTTACGTCCTACTATTCTGCACCATGTGGGCTAATGAAGATAGATACCTTAACCTATAACCTATGGACTGTTTCACAAAAATTATAGATGGTGTTAAACAAAAATATTTAACTATATCTTATTAGCTTGACAAAATCTGAAATATGTGGCAAACCATTTGATACATCTGGCCATTGTAAGAATCAGTTGTTGCCTTGCCATCTACAGATCTATTACAACAGACGTTGAATGATAAAAGCTTTTAGACTCCCACTTACCGTTCCCATTTTAATCTTGCGTCCAAAACGTCGACTCATGGGGGCTGATATTGTGTGGTATTTCCGTTTGGGTAACACCAGGGGTCTGAAGGGTTCAAGGGGGGGTTTATAAGGTTCCGGGGGTGGTGGGGGTTCCCCATTATCCGTAGGTTCAGCATCTTTCACAGTGTCAGTTTTTCCATCCTCATCTACTTTATTCCCCATTTTAAATTTTACACGAGCACCTTAATAATACTGTATATTTTGTTATTGTAACTTCCAATATATTGTATAGACACTGTATCTATAATATGTAAGTCAACTATAGGCATCTCGCCTCGTCAACCATATAGACATATTTCAATTCCACATCATTCTTACTCTTACTGATACACTGTTTAGAATCATGACACAATAAAAAAAACCTTCCATATTTACACTATAATATCCACTAGTTAAATCACAACCATGGAATCTGCACACTGGTCACTTATTTATTGAAGCAATCCCTTATCCCTTTCGCTTACATCAAAGCGAGATTTTTAATTTATCGAAATACACCTTCCTCAGTCTAAGTTTAAGATTTTTCCACATATTTTAACAGTTCTTTAAAGACTTGCTAACTGAAAAAATAAACACCTTGTTACACTTATTCAGTGCTAGTTCCCTGTAATTTCCTACTTTCAATGACCTTTTACCTATTTAATATTAACATCACAATAGTTGTAAACATAACTTTTATCCTGATCCAATGCCTTCTGTTGAATAGGAACTAATTTCAACCACTTAAACCTCTACACTTCTTCAAGCCTGTGCCACTTCCTTCTGTTGAATAGGAACTAATTTCAACCACTTTAACCTCTACACTTCTTCAAGCCTGTGCCACTGCCTTCTGTAGACTAGTAACTTGTTACCTTTCAACCACCCTAACCTCTACAATTAGTGAACACTGTTTTAACCATGTGTCAGTGCCTTCTCTAGAATAGTAACTTGTTACCTTTCAACCACTCTAAACCTCTATAATTAGTGATCACTGTTTTAACCCTGTACCAGTACCTTCTCTAGAATAGTAGCTTGTTACCTTTCAACCACCCTAACCTCTACAATTAGTGAACACTGTTTTAACCCTGTGTCAGTGCCTTCTGATGAACAGTAACTTGTTACCTTTCAACCACTCTAAACCTCTACAATTAATGAACACTGTTTTAACCCTGTGTCAGTGCCTTCTGTTGAATAGTAACTTGTTACCTTTCAACCACCCTAACCTCTACAATTAGTGAACACTGTTTTAACCCTGTACCAGTACCTTCTCTAGAATTTCAACCACCCTAACCTCAACAATTAATCATAAATCCAGTCTTGGCACTGATTCTGAAATCTCTTTACAATATTAAACTTCAATAATTATCAGGAATGGTAAATAATGTCAGGATTCGTCAGCTAAAATTCCTAGTCTTAACACTCAATTCTCCATTTTTATTTGAAAAATATATCCAGAATTTAACTATCAATTGTTTTCTATCCTGGTTTCTGTTAAATATTATATTTCTTTAAGTATTTTTCAAGGGTATTTATGGACACTCATCAATTTTAAAATGAGATTTATCCTCAAATAAGTCAGAATAAAAAAAAATCCACAATTTCTATACAAAAAATTTCACACAAAATTAAATTTTACTGATACAAATGTTTTTTTTCCCATGTCATGATAAGAAACCAACTAATATTTGATATCCAACTTCTTACTTTCACTTCCCTACATAAATTTCTCAGATTATCACCATTTTAGGAATTTTGCAATGAACCAGTATTACACATACAAAAAAACACAATTTTCACAAATTTCAAAACTTACTATCTTATTTTTCCTCTCCTACATGTAATGATGATAAGGAAATGAAATTGAATCCAAGGGGGGATAATTCACACCCAATAATTAGAGCGTCTGCCTGCGTACAAACAAAAAACCTGTGAAATTTAATCCAATGTTTACCACTCCATGGTTCTGCGTCACTCACAAAATTCTTAAAATTCCTTCCCTATTCAACAGAAAATTTTGTCAGCGAAAAAAAAACCTGAGACCATTCAGTACGGAAATATAACTCTGAACGAAAACCACATGTTAAATTTTGTCCTCATTCTATATGTCAGGTTATTCTCATAATCTAGACAGTAATATTTTGGTCATTACAACAAATTTTGGCACAAAATTATTCACACAAAATCTTCCCAGTAGACACCTTGTAGGTCAATGTCATTAAGTATACCTACAACAAAGTTCTGACTTTTCAAAACTCAAATCATCATGAATCTTGCTGGCAGACAAGTTCTCAATCCAGAAATATTCAGGATGGCAATTCAAACAAATGGTTTCAAACCATTAAAACCATCTTCCACTTTGTACTGAGTCAATCATCAAGAATCATGCTTCGACACAATTCAGAAATATTCAGATATTGGCATGATAATTCAAACAAAGTCAACTGGCATTGAACCATCACAAACTTAATCCAGAATTCTAATACCACTTTGTCAAGAATCTATCTCCAAAACAAATCATCAGGTATTCAGATATTATCACAGTGGTTGAAGAAAACAATTTACAACTCCACATCACGCAAAGACAGAAATATTCTCACCAATTAATTCTTAACAAACATCATCAAACATCAAAGGCATCATCCTAATTTATCTACCTTTAGATACTGATTGACACTGGTTTATCAACATGGTGGAATCTCTTCTTTATCACTTCATAATCCATCATGTATTACAGTCAGATTGTGGTACAAAGTGTTGAGGAGATGCTATCTCACACAAGCACTGGCCTAGGTCACAATCAGAGACTACGGATTTCAGTATGATAGATTTTCATGGAATTTTTGCTTCTGGAGAAATTTAAAAAATAAACAAATAATACTGACAAAGCATTGATGCTTAAAATTGCTTTCAAGCATTCAAGAGAAAGAAAAAAAAGAAACAATTTTGTCATGATGATCCTGTCTACCAGTTGGTCCTCGGCCAAATCTTTGACAAAGACATTACTAGGAGTAACAACTTAGGAACCAATGGTCCTGTTTTCAGCTGTTTCTCTGTGAAATCTTTCTTGATTATCTGTGCATGTCCATTTACAGCTGGGACAACTTGAACAATGATGGCTTCTTCAAAGTCATTGGACACTGACTTAACCTAGAAAAACCATGTAAAGATTCCAACACTGTAACTGACAGTGCTACAGCCCTCTCAATATGAAAATTGCGTTGTATGTATATCAGTATTTATATAATGAAAATATCACACCGTAGATGCCAAAAATCTGACGATCTTCAAAAAAACATGGCAGCTTATTATAAATACAGGTTAATTAACTGTGAGACTGTGTTTCTTTGTAGTCTCGCACCAAATTAACTGAAAATTTGTCTCGAATTATTTAATCATGAGAAGAAAGACATAGAAAACGCCCCAAAAAATTCTTTACACCTCAGATAAAAGTACCCAGCGATTGAAAATTTCAGCAGAATTCCTTACTGTCTAATATAAACTCTTATAGAGGAGACTTACTAATACAGTGGGCCCTCATTCTGTCCTTGTTCTCAACAAAAGATCTTAATTATTGAAACTTATTCAAGCCTGTTTAACAAACACTTCAATTTCTATCACTTGTTACAATCAATATCTGAATTGATGCACCGTTTCTCCAAATCCTTTCTCCAAATCCTTTCACTAACAAATCCAAAACACATCAAAATATTCGATTATTGAAATAATATAATCATTACCCTCCAACATTCCAATCTTAAAAATATCAACTTTATCAATTATTAAAGATTTAAACAATATTGGAGGTACAATTTATCTAAGATTAGTGTAAAGATAAGTTGGTATATTCCTGATATTACGTGGTGAATATCTCACTGGTAAGATTGAAACAACATCTCTTCTAAGTTCTTATAGTCCAGGTTACTACATACACAACACATCAAACTAGTTTTTACATTATATACATCATCAAATCTTGTCAAAATATATTCCACAAATTATCACCAAGTACAAATTCAAACATTTAAAAAAACTTGTCCAGATAAAATTTAAAATGTATGACAAACTGACACAAGATACCACTATGTATCACAAAGTAGAACCAAACACTGTATATAACAAATTACCATGTTGTAGAGTTCTAGTATATCTTATACAGCTTAATGTATCACAAATTACTCCAAAATACTAGAACATATCATAACATCTCTAGTGAACATTCATTCAGTAATTTAGACACCAGCAGTTGTATATTATATTATAGTAGTTATATATTTCATAGTACATATATATATACAGTTTAAAACTTGTTACACCATGTACCACAACATACCACAAACTAGGTAATGTATCAGAAATTACCACAATTTACCATAAAATATCACAAACTACCACAATACACCATAAACTACTGCAATGTACAGAAATTATGATACCACAAAGTTGTAATTAAAAAGTTGTATATGAATTAATAAAATTATAAAACGATCTGAACTGCGAAACGAAACAAGAAATCCAAAAGAACCTATAACATGACATATGAACTAAGACAGCCCTTATCATCATTTACTAATACTATAATCACAAAGTTGTCAGTGGACATCCATCAGTTTATAATCATATAATAACACAGAGTATAGTAGATACTGGAGATCAGTGATAGGTATATAAAATCAGGAATATTTGTTGAGTGATGTCATTAAGTAGTAAGTGTAGTAGAATAATAAACTACTAAGTACTACAAACTGATACAATGTTTGATACTAATACATGTTTTATACCCTGTAACATTATATTGCAGCAGAATAATAATCCGTACAAGCAAGACAATTCTGTCTATCAAATATCTCATCGAAATTATTGCAAAATCATACTTGTATAGTACAGGACTCTTCCAAAGAGAAGTACCATCAGATGTTTTGAAAAGAGTAAGCATGGTCTGCTTGGCGAGCGACACCCTCTTCTACTATAATGGTCAAAATCACGAGATACAACCAGAGCAATTCAACCCAAACAAATCAATGTGTGGGCGTAAAAAAAGCAGTTTGGTATGCTGTTTAGAAGTTTTACTCATTGTACACTGCATGGCATCGACCTACTTCATCAATCCACTGCATAACAATAAGGTGTAGAACTCTATTTAATGATATTAAAAGCTAATAAGTGTGATATGAACAGCATCAAGT